CAGAAAAAGGATTCCCCCCACCTCAAACTCTGGGAATTCGAGCCACAGCTCTGCCAGTACCCCAAGACTCGGCACTGGTTTGATGACCTGCCAATTCATGACAGCATAGGGCTGTCTGTTGTTTTTGCGCAAGTTGGTGTGAACAAAATTCACAATATCTGGTCGAATGGGAGCCTTGAAGACAGCAGGCAAAGTGACATTTTTGCCAGATGTTTCCCCCTTTTCAGAGTACACGGATATCAGTGGACGAGCACACGCCATGGCGGGGAGAGGAGAAGGCCACGCTCCTCTCTACCCAGCGGCTCCCACAGGAAAAGGTCACTTTTCTCTTTGATTTGTAAATTTCAAGTGGCCTTAATAAGCATAACAGTTTCTCAGTTTACTTCTAAAAGTAGATTCGACAGGTTAATAGAATGACGTTTTCCTTCTGAAACGAAAGCCAATTTTACCTTAATTGTGAATTCTTAGAGTTTAGTTCACTGTATATTCTGCTGTCCGCAGTTTCTAAGGCAGTTGGTGACTGGGCTACAGGCTGGCTGCTGGGCTGAGCTGTACCCGTAGTCGGCAAACTCATTGGTCAACAGCCAAACATCACCAGCACAACGACTGGAATTTCTTTTGAGAGCCAAATTTTTTAAACTTAAACTATATAAGTAGGTACATTGTTATTAACTTAGTTAGGGTACTCCTAAGGCTTAGGAAGAGCCTCACTCAAGGGGCTAAAGAGCCGCATGTGGCTCGCGAGCCACAGTTTGCCAACCACGAAGCTAGACCAAGCCTCTGACGTGCAGTGTGATCTGTGTCTGTTTTTCTTCCGTAGCTAACCCGAGGTATTATGTATAGTCCACCTATTTTGCAGTTGTGTAGTTAGAAGTCTCATAATTAGATACATTTTTTTTTAATTTGCAAAAATATGTGCGCTGCTTCACAGGCTGGTGCTGTTTCAGAGCGAGGTATCACCTACTGCCTGGGCCCCGCGCTCCGTTGGTTGGAGCGCCACGTCACGTCCCGTGCACCAGAGGGTGGCAACTTGGTGCCCATTCAGGGCGCAGGCCCAAGTGATGGGTTTCATCCCGCGCGGTCCAGGCAGGTCCAGGAGGCCACCGATCAGTCCCTCTCCCTTCCTCTGTCTCTAAAATCAATGGACAAAAAGTAAATAATAGGCTGGGCCGAGTGCCGAGGTGTCTCACAACTAACTGATCCCAGCCAGCTGCAGGTGTCTGCGTTCCTTCGCCACTCCTACGGCCCACTTCACTGGCTTAAATAGTAAATAAATAAGTAATTAAATAAGTAAGTAAATAAACAAACAGACAGCAAGGTGTTATTAACACTTCATTTTTCTTGATTTGTGGTTTTGACACTTGAAACGTGTTGCTTTTTGTCTTTTCTAATACATGCTTTCAATTTGTCTTGAGGCTTTTAGTGTCTGCGACGCTGTAACTAGTAAGAGCGTTCTTGGTCCTGTGTTTAGCACACAGTGTTGAGTGTGGAGAGACGCCGCGTTAATGGCCGGGAACTGGAGTGTGCTAAGTGCTCGCCTGTGTAGCCTTCCGGCCTCTCCACTCCCGGCTTGAGTTACTGGCGTCCCGTCTGTGCTGGGCATTCTGAACCAGTGTGCTTGTTGCTGGCTGCCTTGAGCTCAGTTCTGGTCTTATTTCCATCTTGGCTATTTTATACCTGAACTGTCAGGGAAGGTTAGCGCTGCCTAATCCAGTCTGGATGAAGTCCTTCCATTATGTGCATGAGCCACAGTGAACTGATCTGAGACTAGGGCTGGACCACTAGGCTCCCCAGTTTTCCTGGGCTCCCATTGTGTGTTTCTGGGTGGAATTGTTTTCTTTACCTGGTTTGGGTTGAATTGTTTGAAAAAAAATTAGGACATACATCGTGTGTATTTTGCAGGATATTCATTTTCTTTTATTCCTAACAATATTTAGTCAACCTTACACTTAGCTAGGTTGAAGAATTTTAAACATAGTAGTTAAGAATTTCCCAGCCTCATGGGGATGCTTGCGGCAGTTTTTCACGTAATGAGATGGTCTGTGATACTTGTAAGTTTTGATGTTTCTGGTTGACAGAACCTGGGCCCTCAGGGTTGGGGTAGTATTTTTCAGGGATCAGGACTCTTTCTCAGGGTGTCTTCTTGGTTACCTTATTACGTCGTCCTACTCAGAGGGTCGGTTTCTGTTACATTTGGAAACAAATTAGCTTTTTTAAAAAATATATTTTTATTGATTTCAGAGAGGAAGGGGGAGAGAGAGGGCGAGAAAGAGAGAAACATCAGTGATGAGAGAGAATTATTGATTGGCTGCCTCCTGCATGCCCCCCACTGGGGATCAAGCCTGCTGACTGGGAATCGAACCATGATCTCCTGGTTCATAGGACGACTCTCAACCATTGAGCCCGCCAGCCTGGCGAAACAAATGAGCTTTTAAGAACAAACAGGATGACTTGATGAGGACAGCATTCCAAACACTCAGGTAGGGGCAGTCGCAGGTGGCTTATAAAATGTGTGACATCACACTTGAGTTGGCCTCCTGTGATAACTGCCTTGCTTTTACAAGGTCCTTAGGAAACAGTAATACCATACTTTGGTCCTGAGCAAAGAAAATAAGAAAGCCTCTGATGTTACACTGAATTTGTTTGATGTTAAGGCCAACTAAATAAAGTCTGCTTCTAAGTAAAACTTGTGCTGTGTGCAGATAAAGAGAAACCTTGTAAGCATTTTGACTTTTGCTTCCAGAATAGAAGTTTCTGGAATGTGATTACCCATTTCACTTCAGAGCCTTTTTCTTGAAAGGCCACGCTTCAGCCTTGGCTTCCTAGTTGGACCGTGTTTCTGTCGGAACTGCAGGTCATCGATTTGCAGGTCACATGGCTGCTGTCATACCGTGCGGCTTAGGGAACTGGCTCGTTTGTGTTGTATTCCTTGCGACATCTGGGGGCCAGCATCAACTTTCAAAATCATAATCTGTTGTTTGCCACTTTGGAGAATTGAAATGCTTCCTGAACATTTGTAGGACACACAGTAGCAGGAATCCGACTGGGAAAGACTCCCCAGTTTATGCAGGTGACCCCCGAAGGCGGCCGAGTGGCCACGCGGAATTCCCAGAGCTTCCTCCTTCACTCGTTCTACAGCCATTCACTCAGGACACAGTGCTTGGGGGCTACAAGGGGCCAAACCATGTTAAAGGTGCTGGGAATTTAAAATGGAGTCTTGCCCGATCAGCGTGGCTCAGTGGTTGAGTGTTGACCTATGAACCAGGAGGTCACAGTTCGATTCCTGGTCAGGGCACAGGCCCGGGTTGCGGGCTCCATCCCCAGTGTGGGGCCTTCAGGAGGCAGCCGATCCATGATTCTCTCATCATGATGTCTCTCTCTCTCTCTCCCTCTCTCTCTGAAGTCAATTAAAACATATTAAGGAAAAAAAAAGAAGAAGTCTTACACTCTGAAGGGACCACGGTCTTGTCCAAGAAACAGCGAACAGGTAGCTGCAGTGGCGCTAGTTGTGAGATTACAGCATGCCCCGGGGACATAGAGGAAATCCGCAAGGCACTGCTCCTTGTAGAGTAAAACTCAGTGAATTCTCCTTGTTGCTAAAGAGAAATGATACTGACACGGGTTACAATGATAGGAAGACTTTATTCGAGGCTGTTGCCATGGAGGAGAGGGGCTCAACTCTGAGTACAAGAAGTGGGGTTTATAGGCAGGGAGCAGGCAAGCGGGTCCGTGGATGGAAATGACTAAGGGGAGACGGCCAGGGTAGGGCATTCTGCCAAATGACCTCACAGGATTTGGTGTAAATATGAAAGGTTGGGGATGAGGAACTTGATCAGATACCGAGTATGATTAGATGTCAGGGGCCTGGGCTTCTCTGACTGAGCGAGATTCTTGCTAAAACGGGCTGAGCAGGCTGAAGCGATGAGAGAGCCTTTGCCTAAAGTTTCACGTTAGATACCACTGTGACCTGCATTTGGGAGATGAAGAACTCAAGCTTAGAGAGTCTGAGCCGCTCACAGAGGCGGCCACAGCCGGTGAGTGCCGAGCTGGGTGCCTGCTGGCTTTCCATCCGATGGCCTGCGCCCCGGGTCACCCCCGGACTGTGCCCAGCGGCCCGGCTGGGCTCCCTGAGCTCGTGTGAAAAGGCGGCCTCTGTCATAGCGTGACCCGGGGCCTTGCCGTGGGTGCTGCCCCGCAGCCCGTGGCTTCCACGGAGCAACATGCTCAGGTTGCAACGCAGAGTGCCATTTGCATGTTAGCGCGATGAGAACGTCAAGTAGTTGGTGTGACTGTTCAGCTATAACGGTGTCTGCTGGCTTTCCGTCGATGGCCTGAGATTCACACCCCAAATCTGTTAGGTCACTTAGCAGAATGCCCCCACCCCGCCGTCTCCTTTTGGTAATTTCCCATCGGATGGCCTGATAGGTATTCAGCACGATAGCGTTTGTCACTTGGATTTCTGCATCTTACCTATTGAAAGATAGCCACAGAAGGAACACAGTGTAAACCTTAGGACTTCAGATGTTCTGAACATAGAAGGTGCTTTAACCAGTAACCAGTAAGGTGTATCTATGCAGAACTCTTCAAATATGCGGAGTTATCAGTAAGCTTTACAAATTGGCGGTGAGTGAAATGTGACCGTTTCACCCAGCTGTCCAAGAAACATAAAAGTTAGGCAGCTCGTGTGGTGCTCCGGAGCGGTGTGTGTAGAGGGGCCTCGTTAGCACCAGGTCGGCTCTTAGGGTCACACGTGTGGCTCTGCCTCCGCCGCTG